AACCGGCTACCTGATCTGGATTAAATTTCAAATCGGGTGGCATCCTGATAATGTTAGAAGGATTTAGCGACTGAATCTGCTGCCCAGGTCCATCCCAGGTCCATCCCCACTCCCAGGGGCGCTCAGTGTGCCTCTTTTCAGAGCCGGGAGTTTTCCAGCTTAACAAAATGGCTGCCAGAGTGGCCCTGGGAGTGGGGTGGACCTGGAATGGACCCGGGTGGCAGATTCGGCGGCTAAATCCTTCTGATATTATCAGGATGCCACTCGATTTAAAATTTAATTCAGATCAGGTAAGCAGGTTTAAAATGAATGTGATAAGATCCTTAGTCACAGGTACTGAACCATGTTGAACCACCCCCACCCTGAGACAAACATCATCCTCTGGCATATTTATTAATTTGCATTTGTTACAGAATCCATACATTATGCAACACTAATGAACTTATCACACTGCACTTAAGGAATGGGAACGGAACGCAAGGGAACAGAATGAAGCAAAAGCACATTTTACTGCACAGGAGAACGCCACCGATGCAGCCGGGAGTCCCCAATCCGTTCCCCAGCCATTCCTGGCAGCTGATTTTTGAAGGACGGTTCAAAATCGTTCTTCAAAATTGGCTGCCAGGGATGGCTGGGGAATGGATTGAGGACTCCCGGTGGCATTGGTGGTGTTCTCCCATGCAGTAGAATGCATTTTTGCTCCGTTCTATTCCTTTGAGTTCCGTTCCCGTTCTTTGAAGTGCTGTATGATAAGCTTATAAGATCCAATGACTGAAGATGTCTTCATCCAATTTCTCCCTTGCATCATGATGTGTTTCTTGCACCATACCACATACTTTTGCTCAACCTTCCTCAACCCAATGCTCTCCAGATATGCTGAGCTATTGTTGTTGTGCGCCTTCAAGTTATTTCTGACTTGAAGCAACACTAAGGCTTTAACCCCTATCATGGGGCTTTCCTGGCAAGATTTATTCAGATGAGGTTTGCCATTGCCTTCCTCTGAGGCTGAGAGAGTGTGACTTGTCCAAGGTCACCCAGTGTGTTTCATGGCCAAGTGGAGAACTGAACCCTGGTCTCCAGAGTCGTAGTCCAACATTCAAACCACTATGCCACACCTAGCCCTCCTATAAATCCCCAGCTGACTCAAGCTTTCAGGAATTGTAGCTGCTAAATGGTTTCAAATTAGTGCTGCTTTTAACAGTTCAGTTCAGTTCAGTTCATTGTCTTTTAATTATTTTTTAAAAACTATTATTAGTTTTTAATATATATTTTTGTTTTAGTCGATGTGGTAACTTGCCCGTAGATTCTATGTTGGAGGAAGATGGGAAATAAGTAAAATAAAATGTCCAACACATGTAGAACAGCTTGGATATACTGTTCTTTCTCCAGTAGTTGAGTGCGCAATTGGCAACTGTTCCAGAGAACCTGGCTAGTGTGTGGAAGCACTTTGTGTCAGTGGGTTTTTGTTCACTGGTTAACAAGAATAGAGAACAAAATGTATTTTTGACTCATTCATTTCTCCATTGTATTTGTGCTTTTCTAGTCTATTTCCTATTATATTGAGTCAAGCAATAATAAGATCACAAAATAATGTCATTACAAAAATGAATATTCAACAAAAGCAGCAGCAGAAAAGCATATGAACCTTATTGCTTGTTAAAAGGCTGAACAAATGTTTCTGGGACTTTAGTGCAATTGTATGCCTGACTATTCAGAATCCCACTGAGTCCAACATCATTTATTCTTATGTGGGTGGAGGTTTATAGCCTGAACACCAGTAAGGTGAATGCCAGGTAAATATTTTTTTTTTGGGGGGGGTGTTTCAGCACAAGGGGGCCACCACTGAAAAGGACCCATTTCCATTCATAGTCAACCATATAATATCTGAAGGCAGAGAGCCAGCATGGTGTAGCGGTTTGACTGTTGGCACTATGACTTGGGAGAATAGGGTCCAAATCCCTATTCACACTCTCTCAGCCTCAGAGGATAGCAATGGCAAACCCCTCTGAAAAAACTTGCCAAGAAAATCCCATGATAACCTTAGGATCAACATAAAAGAAACAACTTGAAGGGACATAACAACAACAACAACAAATCTCTGAAGAGAGCTAGACAGGGCCTCTTTGAAAAAAATTGCTCACACATGTTAGCACTCAAATAAAGATGGAGTCAATGATGTGAATGTATTCGAAGCACATTCAAGGCATGTAGTTTTATCCTGGTTTATCCTGGGTCTGTTCACACTGGTTATTCATATTGCTGAAAATCTGAATCTTTTTTTTAATTCAGAAAAGAATCCAACATCAATTATCTTGAGTTAAATGAGTTTTTTGTCAGCTCCCCCCAAAAAACTTAATTGGATGCATTCAAAATGCATGTGAACAACAAAGTTTAAACCCAGATTCTACCTAGATTATTTTTACCATCTGAATCCGAATAACCTCTAGTCTTGATCGAACAAATTGAAACTAGTCCCTAAGGGTTATCACTGGCAGGGCTAGCCGATGGAATAGGTGTGCTAAATGGAGCTTGGCAGTGCAAGAAGTAAGGACCAATGCAGATCCCAGTGACAATGAATGAGTGGCACTGTATGGAATGAATGGTGAGCCAACAGCCAAGAAGCGATGGAAGCATCCTTGTTGTAATGTTAAATGTTTTGCATGCCTTGTTTTTGAATGAGAAATTAAGATCCATTAGTTTTTGAAAAATTCTGCTCTGGGAGCAAATGAAACTGCTGCTACTGGTTTGTTAAGAGGTGGATGCTACACAACCAATTGCTTTTTGGTGCTCTCTTTGGAGAAATGGTTACGAGATTGTCAGGATGAACGCCTGCCCTTCAAAATTTCTATCTGTATCTCTGCAGTCAAGTGACTGTTTGGCTACATATCCAGATCATGACTCACCACACAATTATTGTTCTGCTATAAACTATCTGAGACTGTGGGCAACTCTGGCCATCCTATAATCACTCTGCCTTGGCCCTAGCGGCTGGTGAAAGCCTGCCTCTCCACAGTCCAACCACTATTGCGGTGGACTCTGAGGAGAGAAAAGCAACCCGCCTCTGCTGGAATTAATCTTCCCCTCCTCTGCTACTCCCTTCTCTTGACATGTCTTATTTAAGTAGTAACCTTGAGGGCAGAGAGCTATCTGCCAAATCAGTGCTTTTCAAACTTTTTACCTTTGTGATCCCTTTTACATCTACATGGCGACTTTGTGCCTCCCCAACGTAGTATATGAATCAAAGTATTTTGTTTGTTTAGTGTGTGAGTTTTTGTTTGCACATTTATGTATTTCATATTTTAACATGAAACAGTGATGGGACAGACGGGAAAAGAAGAGGTGGAGGTTCAGGATGGGCCCCTCAGAGGTCATGATCCTGTGAGCTTTCCAGTTTTCTCCTCCTCCTCCTCTTCCTCCTGCAGGCAGAGGTGACTGCTCCAAGTGCCCACCTTGCCCTTTTTTCTTTCATCCCAGGACAGAAGTAGTTTGGGAAGGGGGGGGGATCAAGGCCTCCAAGTCTTGCACCCCCCTTGAGCAACTCTTGTGTCCCCTCCCAGGGGTCTTGCCCCACACTTTGAGAACCACTGTACTAAATAATTTGTAAGCTACCCTGGGAGCCTTTTGGCTGAAGGGCAGATATAAATTTGTTGCTGTTGCTGTTGTGTGCCTTCAAGTCATTTCTGACCTATGGTGACCCTAAGATGATCCTATCACGGGGTGGGTTTTTTTGGCAAGATTTGTTCAGAGGAGGTTTGCCATTGCCTTCCCCTGAGGCTGAGAGTGAATAATATTGTGGGGTGCAATTTTAGGGCTCATTCCCACTACAAAATAACCCAGTGTGGAAACTAGGTTATTTTGTGATTGAATCTCTCCGGGGCCGTTTATTCCCCCTTTAATCCCCTTTGTTGTTCACACTTGAGGAGAATGGCTGTCATGGAGAGAGGTAGAGGACCTTGCTAGAACTTGAAGGCACACAACAATAACAACAACAAATAGAGGAGGGGATGGCTGAAAGAAGCCGGCAAGAGCTGGCACGGCTCTTCAATGCGAATCCGACCCGTTGTTCCCACTTGTTGAGCACGGATCGGATTTGGGTCTTTTCAAAAGACTGTCCAAAAACTAGTGTCAGGAAAGAGCGGTTCTTTTGCGTTTGCTTTGCTTCAGCACGATTTAAACTGAGCACAGTAGGATCAGAACCGGTTTCAGGTGGGAACGACAGATATATAACACCAATCAGCAATCACTTTAAGCAAAGCAAGCAAAGCAGCTTCATTTATATACCGCTTCATATCACGCTATGGGATGTCTAAGCGGTTTACAACTGTGAGCTGATTGCCCCCCAACAAGCTGGGTAATCATTTTAGCGACCTCAGAAGGATGCAGGCCTGAGTCGAGCCTCAGCCCTGGCCGGTATTGAACTCGCAACCTTGTGGTCTATGAGTGAGTGGCTGCAGTACAGGCATTTAACCACTGCGCCACCAGGGCTGACTTTAAATCCCAGTGGGAACGAGTCCTTAGTTTCCCAGGGTGTTAACCCTTTTAAAGGAAACAAAAATACACAAGTATGAAAGATAAACTTGTTAAAGCCTAGCTTCCATTAGCAGAACAACAGAAGTGTGAGTCTAGCTATTGTATTCTAAATATGCTTTCCTAAAAAATAAAGACTAACTAAAAAAACCCCACAAACATGTAGTTTGTGGTTTAAAAAAACCCCAATAATGGCTTTAATAAATATTTATATAAAATAACTAAAACCTAATCTAACTGGAGATGGTTTGGGTAAAGAGTGATAAATGTCACTATCTTTACAAAGCAGGAAGAAACTACTGACTGAATGACTGCTTGAAGCAGCTTAGAATCTTCAGAGAGAGCTGTTAAACTGCCTCTAAGATTGAGTGACAGGAGTCACATGAAAGACAGAATGAGAAAGAGAGAAGGAAAGAAGAATGCAATACATAATTTTTCCAACAAATATGCCCAAGGTCACCCAGTGGGCTTCATGCCCAAGCAGAGAATTGGACCCTGTACTCCAGAGTCATAGTCCAATGCTCAAACCACTATGCCATACTGGCTCTCCAGGTATAAATACTCTAAATAAATAAAAACTCATAGTTGGTTTTAGTATGGCTGCTTCAAGTCTTCCACCAATGTTTGTCTCACTTGCTTCATCACTGCCAACTCCCTGGAAAACCAGGGGGCAGGTTTGGCTTCACTCTGTAAGAGGGGACACTTAGGAGCAAATAATAATAATAATAATAATAATAATAATAATAATAATAATAATAATAATAATAATGCCTTGGCCATTTCCCCATTCCATAGGTCAACCAGCATTTCAACAGAATCACCTGCCTTAAAAACACTACAACATCCTATTGGCCCAATTTAGAAAAAGTAAGAGTGTTGAACCATAGTCTCGGAAACTTGTAGTGCAATGTGTAACTTAGCAAAACACATGGATAAGGTAACAATAAAACTTGGAATTATAGGCAAGAGTTATAATTTAGAAATGCACTGTATTAAAGGCTGAACCACCCACCTCTTTAAACAGGTGCTTGATGGCTAAGTGGTTGTGGGAGGATTATTTTATGGCATTTGTGCTGTATTTTAATCTGTAATCTTATTTTTGATGAGTTCACACTTCTTAAAATTAATAGCATTTTAATATGATACCTTGTTTATTTTTTTTTACATCACCAGGTTTTAAGATGTATTTTGTCTTAGCCTTGTTGTAAGCCACCTTGGGTCTCACATAAAGGGAAATGCAGGTTATAAATCAGGGGTAGGCAACCTAAGGCCCAGGGGCCAGATGCGGCCCCCAGAGGCCTTTGGACCGGCCCCAGGCTGGTCCTACTGCCGCCACCACCGCCCGCCATGATGATATTGATTATTGTTGTTATTACTTGTTCTTGGGGGTTTCTTGGCAAAATCTCCACAGGGGTTTTGCCATGGCTTTTCTGGGGCTGAGAGAGTGTGCATGCATATTTTTTTATTTTTTTCATTTTTAAAACAAATATTTATTTATTTATTTATTTTTGGTGCTTCGGCCCCCCAATTGTCTGAGGGACAGCAACCCAGCCCCCGGCTCTAAAAGGTTGCCTGCCCCTGTTATAAATAAATCAAATAAACAAATACATCTAATACAAACAAGTTTCTTAGGATAAGGACAGATGCTTGCTTTGGTCAATAGATGGCACTCGAATACATATTAATCTATTTTCTGAAATGGTTCTTGCAGAGCAATACTTAACTAAGCAGACCTGCAGTGAATCTTTATCCAGAAACTCAAAACATATGGTTCAATCTCATTCCTAATGAAGTCTTTCAGAACTGTATATAGACTCATAAAGATTAGAAATGGAAGGAGCTACAAGGGCATCTAGTTCTAGTCCAACTGCCTGCCATGCAGGAATGCACGACTAAAACACTACTGAAAGATACCCATCCAAATTCTATTTAGAGACCTCAGAAGAAGGAGAATCCACTCCCATTCCACTTCAGCCCCCAAGGCTACCTATTCCACTGCTAAACAATTCTTACAGTAAAGATGTTCTACTTAAGGTGAACTTTTTTGTTGTAATTTGAATGTATTTGTTTGTGTCCTAGAGCAGCAGAAAACAAGCTTGCTCCATCTTCTACATGACATCCCTTCAGATATTTAAAGATAGCTGTCATTCCACCTCTCAGTCTTCTCTTCTCCAAGCTAAAGTTCAAGAAGGATATTGACAAGCTGGAACATCTCCAGGTTTCCAGTGTTGCCCTTCTCTGGAGATGTTCCAGCTGGTCAATATTCTTCTTGAACTTTAGTGTCCAGAACTGAAAACAGATCTTCAGGTGGCTTCTGTTACTGTCAGCAGTGGGTCCTCCCAATTCATGTTGACCTTGGCACTGCTTTGTGAGACTCCTTCTGGATTTTCCATGCCTGCCTTTTCTACTTGTGGTGCCAGCCATGACTGGTTCTTGCCCTTCATTTGTGGGGATTCCTTTTGGGTCTTACCAATTCTGCAACAAGACAGTAGTATTTTCCCCATTCAGATTGGGAATAATCTTCAACATTTAGTTGAAGCAATTTCTATCTCTTCCAGGAGTGGATCTTTTCAAATCTTCATCAACATTTTTATCAACATAAGAGGGATTGCAAACTGTTCAAATGGTACCACAATTCTCTTACGTGCAGATAAACTGGGAAGTCAATCTACAGCCAGCATATCAGTACGATAAGGATATATATGTAAAAGAGAGCTCAGAGAAAGCCTGATCATGCTATATGACCTCCATCTACCATTCTTTATTCTGTTATAGGCAATTTGCAGCATGACTTGGTTTACAGTTCCCTTTTTCCAGTTCCTTTAAAATTATTAGTAAACTAGAATTATTATGGTGTTCTTTTTGCTCACCAGCATTTATACAGGTTTCTGTATGAATATATTAAAGGAGAGTTTAAGAAGGTTGAGCTGAATAACAATTCTTTCCAAACATTCATAAATTGAATAAACAGTATGGACAATTAAAAGGCACTGCCCCCCCTCCCAAGTCTGTGTAATTGTTGTTCAGTGTGTTGTTTCTTCACAGTAATAAACAATTTCTCAAGAAAAGGCTCATCTGCCCCATTTGACTCCAAGGACACTTCATTCTGATAAGCAGCCAAATCATTGCCAGAGATTTATCTCCAAGGGCTCAGATGGAGTCTCTCACATTCTTTATCCAAAGCCAAAAAAAAAAAAAAAAAAAAAACCCTAGTAGCAATGGAGATTTTAAACACTGCGTTTAAATTTGGAATACTCTTGGCTCCCCCATAGACAAGCTGTTGGTCAATTGCTGTTGATCAATTGCTCTATTGAGCTGTTTGGAGGCCTTGTTGTGCCTGGCTGTCCCTGGACTTGTTCCAAAACATTGGTTTACTCCCCATTTAAAGATTGTCACTGATAATCACAGGGGGAAAAAGGCAAATTCAACAATTTCCAAGGTTTACGGTTCTTAGCTCCCATTTTTCAATCTAGAAGAGTCACTATCAGAGTGGCTGATAATAAATCCACAAAATAGTGTGAAAACAAGCAATGTAGAGTTTCCAAAACAAAGCAAACAAAAAGAAAACAAAGCTGCATAACACTGAAGTACAAGAATCAGATAAAAAAACCAAACAGTCAGGGCAGAGAGGGGAAGAACAAGAAGCAAAATAAAATACAATAAAATAAAAGAGATTGGAGCGCATAAAAACATTTCCTATCAGGTTGGCGCTATATTGCCTTTTGAAAGCCAGTAATAGAAGTAAGCCAAGGACAAGAAAGGAAAGTGGGAAGAGCAAATAGAAACTGAGACATTTTAGAAGCATCTGAGAAAGTGGGATGACAGAGAATTAATCAGTACTGTTCTTGCCAAACTGGGACAGTTGGAGAATATGTGAGTTAGCTACACTACACAGTTACAGGAGATTTGATTCCACTCTCCACAAATCCTGAGACTTGTAGTTTAGTGACGTAAATCCCAATACCGAGTTACTAGTTCCAACTATAGTAAGCGCACTGAAGCAATGGGATTTACATACAAGGGTTGACAGGTTCAATAGTTTTACTCTTGTTGGGCCCAGCCACTAGATTTAGACCAGAGGTGGAAATCATGCATCCTTTACATATTTTGGGACTGCAACACCCAGAATTCTTCATCATTGGCTATGCTGGCTAGGTCTAATGGGAGTTGTATTTCACCAAAATCCCCAATTCAGCTGTAACATTCCCTGTTAGAGAACATTAGCTCCACAGGTTTTTGTGGGTTCTAGAGAACGTATTCTTCTAGAAGAATGTATTCCTGATGTTTCGTCTGCATCTGTGGCTGGCATCTTCAGATCTCCACAGTTCAAGTGAGCACAGGATTGTTTCTGTCAGTTTGGGATAGCTGGAGGGTATGTCAGCCCATCTACTTTGTTTCTTTATGTGCTTGCCTTAAGTTGCAAATACTATTGTGTAGACTAGAGTTTCAAAAGAAAAGGAGGAAAATCAGATTTTAAAACTTATCTGCAGTTCATAGAATCATAGAATCATAGAGTTGGAAGAGACCACAAG